CGTAACGTATTTTGCTTTTCTTTGAACAAAAAAAAAGGATTGCAAAATACGTGCGTAGACACAATGGATTCCGCTTTCTTCCCAGGGCTTCACCTTCCGGAGTACAACCTAATCCAAATCTATTTCTAATTTAAATCAAATTTTAGTTGCGAATTAGAAATAGGTTTGGATTAGGTTATATCTTTCGGAAGTGAAGATACTCCAGAGAAGCGAAACCCATCTCGTCCATGCATATACTTTGCAAGATAAAGCGAAATGCACTCTGCAAGTGTAAAGTGAAATGTACATACATGAACAGTTTCGCCTCCTCTACGAGGATTCCATTTCGAAAAGATAAAACCTAATTTAATCCATATGAGGTGTGCCATATGAGATATACCTTACTTCGCATAGAAAATTACAATAATTTTTCTTCTTGAGTATGTTGTCAAAATGTATGTCTTTGATAACATAGAGATCTAAGGCTCCAACTAAGGTTGCACCAACATTATTTTAAATTTAAGCAATGCTTAAATATATGTCTGTCTTTATTTATTTAGAAAAGAAGATAAAGATATACATATATTTAAGTCTTGCTTAAAGCTAAAATAACGTTAGTGCAACCGGGCCTAACTTTTTATAGATCTAACTATTTTATCAAGTACATACGTGGACACAATGGTTTCTGTCCCCCTAGGAGGGGCTCTATTTCGCAAAACTTAATTTAACTCAACTTGTTTTTGTGTGAGGAGATATATCTTGCTTTGTATAAAAAGTTATAAATCCATTTGGAATCATGGAACGATGAATTTTTTAAAGTTACAAATCCATTTGGAATCATGGAACAAATTTTTCATCCGATAAACATACTGATAAATTTTTTAATATTAAATTTTTTGGCATAGTTATAGCTTATAATACCAATGCGAAACAAGATCCATTCTATAGTTTCATATGATTTTGTAATTTTCTATACGAAGCAAGGTATAACCCAGTTCAGACACAGGTTGAATTAGATTATATCTCCTCGAAAGCCTCCTATAGGGGAATACTCATGCATGCGTGGAACCCATTGCATTTATACATGTATTTTACAAGTAACCTAATCTACAGGGTGATCCAAAAGTATGGAAACGGCCAAATAACTGTGGAGGAATGCACTTTGGAAAAAAAAGTTTGAGACAAAAGTTGTAGGATTTTTCCCGGGCAATCCGACGGTGACCTTAGATTTGACCTTGGATAGTCATTTGAAGGTCACATAAAGATTACCTTCAATTTCTTAAATGGAACCCCCAATTTTTCATTGCATATTCTTGTAGCTTATCTCGAGAGCTTTCCAAAACACTATAATTAAGTACCTTTTTATTAAGTACTTTTTGAGTTATAAGGCTTGAAATAATTTCTTAATTTTACATAAACCATAAAATATCTAGTAAACCATTCATTTTTCGATTATCTTACCTTCATACTTTTATGTACAAAATAATGAGAGGAATCAATTGGTGTAAAGAAAACACATAGTTGTTTCTAAGAAAAAATATGTAATTTGCAATTAACAATTCCATATTTTTTCTTAAAAACAACTGTATGTTTTCTTTACACCAATTGATTCCTCTCATTATTTTGTACATAAAAGTATGAAGGTAAGATAATCGAAAAATGAATGATTTACTAGATATTTTATGGTTTATGTAAAATTAAGAAATTATTTCAAGCCTTATAACTCAAAAAGTACTTAATAAAAAGGTACTTAATTATAGTGTTTTGGAAAGCTCTCGAGATAAGCTACAAGAATATGCAATGAAAAATTGGGGGTTCCATTTAAGAAATTGAAGGTAATCTTTATGTGACCTTCAAATGACTATCCAAGGTCAAATCTAAGGTCACCGTCGGATTGCCCGGGAAAAATCCTACAACTTTTGTCTCAAACTTTTTTCTCCAAAGTGCATTCCTCCACAGTTATTTGGCCGTTTCCATACTTTTGGATCACCCTGTATGTATATGGTGTTCAAAAATTACGTGTGATATATAAACACCTTTTTTGGTTCATAACTTTTTCTTAAACAATTTGATGGTTAAAACCTTTTGAGAGTTACTCAGAAAGATGATTTCTGTAACATATGTCACGGTTATTGACATTTGCAGGATCTGATTATGTAAATATTTATCAAAACTTCTTTTATTAACTTTTTACATTCGGATGTCCCCTCTGAGGAGATATCTAGCAGAAATGGAGAGCAAAGGGTAAATCTTTGTAACGAGTGACGATTAAAATTTCTGGTAAATGTTTACTTTAAATTACACATAATTTTCATTTCGACATGTATTGTACAATAGATAATATTTCTAATTAATATACCGTTTGAATTTTGCAGCACTTTGTCTTGGTTCCTGAAGTATGTAATTTTAAAATTTCATACTTTTATCATTTTTTTGTTGTATCCTATGTGTGTATATATATATATATTTTTTTTGTTTATATTTACTCTTTAAGTAAATACTTAGGCGCGGGAGGAGTTTTGCTCCTTTCCCTGCACTCCTACCCAAAAAAAGATTAACCATCTCGTGTCCGAGGTATGAGATATATCTTGTTTCACATAGATAAAGGACAAATCTTATGAAAAAGTGACGTCAGTGAAATTGCCTAAAAGTTGATGTTTTACTTTATAATCTCTTGATTAAAGGTCCCAACTGGCACTTTTTGAACTTCAAAAACGGACAGATTTTTTTATTACAGGCGTTCGAGACGGACAATATTAGATTCACGTGTATTACTGTGCTGTTGTTCTTCACTTTTAGAGCGTTACTCAATGACTTCTCATCTTCTAGATTCTATCTCTTATATTATCAAGTAATGCAAAGCTAGAAAAGTTTGGAGTAATAATATATACTACGGAAGCGATGAACTATGAGGTCCTTATTTCTGTTGTGACATACACATATACATACATACATTCACACAAAACACATATACACACGCAGATTCATATATATATGCGAATACATTAACATACATGCATATTTCTATCCATATGTCAATCTAGTCAACACATCTCTAGTGTACGCGAATTTAATATTGTCTGTTTTGAACAAAAAATGTTGTTTGTAACAAAAAATTTGCCTATTTTTGAAATTTTCGTGATCATTGAAATTTTTGATCAGGAAATTATAAACTAAAACATATTTAACTTTTAGACAATTTCACTGAAATCACTTTTCCATAAGCTTTGTGAGGGATTCTCTGCAACTCTCTATGCGAAGTGCGAGATATATCCCATACCTCAGGCATAGATTGGATTATGTTATATCTTCCGGAAGTGGAGTCCTCCCGTGTAGGCAAAGTGGGGTCCATCTATTGAGGTCAATGGTGTCCACATATGTACAGTAGGCGCCTTAACATGTGAAATTGGTCTCATTCGGAATTAGTAATAACTAAACGCATCAAGCTATTCATGCATCATGATTGTTAGGTAGAAAAAAAAACCGACAATATTTGTTTTGAAATTATGTCTACAATCTATTATAATTGCATTTAAAATTGTTAAACAGATGTGTGGATACAATTCCAAAATAATGTTTTCAGTTCCTTTTCAAAATTAACAATCATGATTCATGAATAGCTTGATATGCGTTTAGTTATTACTAGCTCCGAATGTGACTAATTTCATATGTTAAGGCATTAATAGCGTCTACTGGACTTTACAAAACGAAGCGAAGTTACATACATATATTTTTTAAAAGTTACGAACATATATTTTATTAAATATATTTCTTCTTAAATGTATATGGTGTCGAAAATTATATTAATTTTATTGATTAAACTTTTTTGTTAATAACTTTTTAATAAATAATGAGCGACGGCTAAGACCTTGTAAAGATTATTTAAAAAGGTGACCTAAATGTAAACAAAAGATATACTTGGAAAATAAATGTAAACAAAAAATATAAACACACGAATAGGAAAAGATGAAAAAATAAATATGAAATTTCAAAATTATATATTGGAATTCAAGAGAAAACAGAGAAACACAAAATTTAAACTGTATTATTGGTGATGTATTATTTATGAACGTATCCTCTATAATATATGTCGAAATGAAAATTATCCATCTTGTGTAAGCTAAAGTAAAGTAAATTAATTCATCTTAAGTTAAATATGACAGATTGGCAAGATAACTATTAGACATTTATATGTGTATAATATTATTACAGATATGTTCCTCCTTCATTTGCCTACATGGTGACACCAAACTTAACTAATTCGTATTCAATTTTTTATCATATAGTTTACTAAGTACAAATACTAATATAAGAAAAAGTATATATCATTTTTGCCAATTTAAAAAAAATTTCTAATAAACTAATTTAATTTTAAATAATAAAGTTTAATATGCTGAATCTTTTGTTGGGATTATGTTAGAAATTTAATTAAGATAAAAAGGAGATATACTTTGGATATGTCGAGTAATCTTGTCCTTTGTAAAGTTATATATCAAATTTTATAGTGAAAAATTGACTATGAATTAGTTAAGTTAGGTTTGATTATATCATGTAGCAGCAAAGGAACATATATAATAAGACTATCCAATTTTTGCAGAAATACAAATCGCAAAAATGTCTATTAAAAATTATTAGACAAATGTGAGAATTACTCAGTTGATTAAAAATTCTTACATAAAAAATTAATAAAAAATTTTCTGAAAAGTACAAAATCTATCAACTAAATATAATAAGATAAATATATTAAAGTCTCGAAAAGATTTTGTAAAAAAAATGATAGTATATATCAATCTTTTGATTATAGTACGAATTAGTTCTCAAATACAATATATAGGTATCCTCTGGAAATCTAAAGAACATTCAATATAATAGAATAGATATTCCACAGACATAGTAATTATTCAATAAGCATTTATGAGACATATATATACATTTATACTTTATTATAATGTAAAATTTCTAAATTATATATTAAATATCCTATATAATAGAAAGTAAATATGTCTGCATATTAAATATTTTTATAAAATATATTTATAATGATATCTTAAAATGTTCTACACAAATGTCTTGAATTATTCTGGACATATTTAGAATGATTCTGAGGATGTTTTGTGCTATCTGATGATAAGTTTATAAGTAGGTATAACATTAATATATATAGTTTAATATAGCTATATATTCTGTTCACTTTAAAATAGTTGCATCACTTTTAGCATTATTTAGGGCTACTGCACACAGAACGTGGCAACGCATTCCGCGCGACAGAAGCTGACGCGATAGCCAATCAGCAGATACATAACATCCGCGCGTCAAAATTGAACTCAATTCAACTTTTGTATTGGCTATCGCGTCAGTTTTCGTCGCGCGGAACGCGTTGTCTCGTCCTGTGCGCAATAGCCTTTAATCTAACATAAAAATCTGTACACAGCAGTGACATTTTAATGTTTTCAGACTAAGTTTCTAACATGCATCTGACTAAAAATATATAGCTGCATCTATCGCATTATAATATAACTCTCATTATAGTAAACTAATTTTACAATTTATTGAAAACAAATTTAAGCTTTGTATTATTTTCAAAATGAAAATGATGTGATTTGGGACAACATCAAAAGTGTGGATAGTTTAGTGAAAATTCACTATTGTGTATACTTGTATTGTGTAACCGACTTGAGTAAAAATTAATATCTTATCATTGAAATAAGATTATTCTGCAAACGTGGGCGCAATGCGTGATTGTACAGTACGCGTCAACGATCCTGTCCTACGCGGGGCAAGAGGAGCGTAGAACTGGCCAATCAGCCACTGCCACGCTGTCGACTAGTTGGCTACTTCTACACTCCCCTTGCCTTGCCTAGGATAGAATCGTTGACACGCACTGTACAGCAATAAACACTGACAATACGATATATGTGAAATTGTCGGCCAATTTTAATAGGATATTTCTAGCATAAGCTTTCGTTGGTAAAAGAAAAGATAAGAAATACCCTCTCTTTTCCTAATCTTAACTTAATTTAATCTAATCTAACCCTTATTCTTCGTTCTTCTCTTATTTTCTCCTTTCTTTTCTTTTCTTGTTTCTTTCTTCCTTCTCTCTCTCTCTCTCTCTCCATGTATATAAAGTCTATGACTTGCGTACACTCGTATTTTTCAAATGTCGTTTACAAAATGCGCGATTATTTATTATTGCGACAGGTAAGACATTTGCTACATTAACGTGAATGACGTTGAGATTTTCTAACTAGAATGAAGTAGAATTGAAATCATTACAATTCAATAATGATCGCTGTCTGTTCAATGCGACTTACTTCAAATCCGTCTTTCTCATAATTAATGATCGTCGTGTTTTTCGTTGTTCTCAGAATTCACTTAGGCTCACGTTTCATTTATCACGCATGAATTTCCATAGGATTGACAGACGGCCGATGATGATATGGAGAACATTCCGATTACAATGGCTATTCATGAGGATAATGGACGACATGGACTGAATGCGCGTATCTTTTCTTTAATTAGTATGATTGATTTTTGCTTTTATCGGTTAAGATGCTATACTTCTATTACTTGTTGTCGCTCCCTGGGAAATGTATTAGGAAATCTAAAAATCTAAAGGTTGATCAGCCGAACCTTCAAGATCCTGAGCAGAATCAATATCACCATCTTCATCATCATCGAGATCTACATTGTTGGTCTTGAGTCCACCGCTGCTTATCTTGTCTACAATCGTGTCTGTAAGACAATTTATTTATTTTGAGGCATATTTTACACAAAAAGAATACACACATGTATTTCTATTTACATACAGGGTGTCCCAAAAGTTCCGGACCGGTCGAATATTTCATAAACTATGCACTTTAGAAAGAAATGTTTCAGACAAAAGTTGTATGGCTTGAGGGGGCTATCAGATAGTGGCAATAATTTGAGAGTCATTTGAAAGTCACGTGAAAAGTCACGTCAATTTCTTAAATGAAACTCCCTATTTTTTATTACATATTAGTATAGCTTATCTCGAGAGCTTTCCAAAACACTATAATAAAGTATTTCTTCATTGAGTACTTTTCGAGTTATGAGGCTTGAAATCATTTTTTAATTTTGTATAAACTATAAAATAGTAAAATATTCATTTTTCGATTATCTTACCTTAATACTTTTATGTACAAAATAAAATATTCTTGTAAAATATTCATTTTTCGATTATCTTACCTTAATACTTTTATGTACAAAATAATGAGAGGAATCAATTGGTGTAAAGAAAACACACAGTTGTTTTAAAAAAAATATTTAATTGTTAATTGCAAATTACATATTTTTTTTCTTAAAAACAACTATTTTTTTTCTATACACAATTGATTCCTTTCATTATTTTGTACATAAAAGTATTAAGGTAAGATAATCGAAAAATGAATATTTTATAAGATATTTTACGATTTATGTAAAATTAAGAAATGATTTCAAGCCTCATAATTCGGAAAGTACTGAATGAAAACTAACTTAATTATAGTGTTTTGGAAAGCTCTCGACGTGAGCTATCAGAATATTTAATAAAAAATAGGGAGTTCCGTTTAAAAAATTGACGGTGATCTTCACGTGACTTTCAAATGACTCTCCCATGTCAAATCATTGCCACTATCAGATGTCCCCCTTCAAGCTATACAACTTTTGTCTGAAACATTTCTTTCTAAAGTGCATAGTTTATGAAATATTCGACCAGTCCGGGACTTTTGGGACACCCTGTATAATTTCAAAATATTATTTTCGTTCAAATATTAATTTAAAAATATTAATCTCAAAATATTATTTTAATTTTATATACATATTGGGTCAGTCTAAATTTCAATTTAATTTACGATAAGTGGCTATATATATTTATAAAATAAGAAATCTTAAAACAAATATTATTGGAGCAAAATCTTAATATAGAATTAAGTCACATTTTCTTCTGTATTTCTCTAGTTTTCTTTTCTCGCTGTTTTAAATTGTGTTTTATTAGTAAATGTATGTCAATAATATATTTCTGATTTTGTTGGAATGAATATATTAGTTTCAAATATTTATAATCACAACACCATTAGTAGTTCTAAACATTAACAACTTTTGCAATAATATTATGTAGACTATCATATTTTAAACAATGTAATATCTCCAAAACAAAACATTAAAAAAAAATCAAAGTTGTAAAATTTGTTAGACGAGAAAAAAGATAGAAATATTAGTTTGACCTTGACCTCGGATGTAGATGCTAAAACCATGTGAACGTTTATTCAGTTTTTCGATTATCTTATTTCAATACTTTTATACACAAAATAATGAGAGGAATTAATTGGTGTAAAAAAAACACATAATTGTTTAAAAAAGAAATATGTAGCTACTCGTAAATTTATAATTTTTCTGAACTGGATTAAACTCATATTTTTTTTTATTTCTCTCATTATTTTGTATATAAAAATATCAAGGTAAGATAATGAAAAAATAAATATTTTACTTTATAAGAAAAAATATGTAATTTGCAATTAACAGTTATATATATATATATTTGTGTAAAAACTTCTATGTTTTTTCTTTACACCAATTGATTCCTCTCATTATTTTGTATATAAAAGTATTAAGGTAAGATAATCAAAAAATGAATATCTTAGATATTTTGTGGTCTATGCAAAATTAAGAAATGATTTCAAGCCTCATAACTCGGAAAGTACTTAATGAGAACTAACTTAATTATAGTGTTTCAGAAAGCCCATAAGTTACAAGAATATGCAATAAAAAATAGGAGGATCCATTTAAAAAATTGAAAGTCTTTACGTGACCTTCAAACGACTTTCCAATGTCTGAGGCATTTTTCGCTATCGCCCCTACCTGAGGAGATATTTCCGTGGACAGAGCCTTTATTCTCGTTCTTTCTCTAGATATTGGCTTCACTCAATTATATATATATATATATATAAAACATCCTGTATTGTGTATATATATATGTATGTGTGTGTGTGTGTGTGTGTGTGTGTGTGTATACACAATACAGGATGTTTAATAACTTTTTGAAATTCCGTAGTGTGAAGGTAGATTAGCTCAAATTAAAAAGATCCTCTACTATTTTGCGATATTCGCAATAATTAACGAAAAATTAATTAAATAAAATTAGCCAATCCGTGCGAATATAAGCGCGCGGTGAAGAAGGCTTTAAATGGGCGTATAGACACTTAACCTCCTTCCACATTAATCCCATATCTTTTGTGGTTCCAATGAATAGTCAATTATGAAATAAATAGATGGAAAACTTTAAATGAACATACATATATATTTTACTAGATATTTTATGGTTAATGTAAACCTGTGTATATACAGGGTGATTCAAAACAAGCGTGCGTCTTTAAAATATCAAATTCTTGAATGAATTCTAAGACGATTTTCCCTTTACCAAAATTTTCTACGCGGCTTACTTTATAAATTATTAAATAAAATAGTTTTCGAATTACGGAACAAGTACAAGAGGTAGGCAGGGACGGCGCAACTCACCGTCCGATACAGGCGATCATGTGGGGCACTCGACGCGATCAGCTAATTGCTGCACACGATGAGTGTAAGGCTGATGGCAGAGAACTAGACGTGAGCGCCATTGTCACAATGGCCTTGTACGACATACGTTTTTCTTTGCCTTACTTTACGTCCACGACTACGACGAGATATCTAGTTCTCTGCCATCAGCCTAACAATCAGTGTGTGTGTGTGTGCGCGCATTTAATGGTGAATGAAAGAGTTTAAAATATAGTTAAGGGATCGTCGCTAACCAATTACCTAAATCAGAGCTGTCTACGTTTTGCACTTTTCGGCCGATTTCCATGAGTCAACGCCTATCGTCCACCTCCTTATGTCTCGAGACACTTTACTACAGGAGCGGCGCATCTATAACGCAAAGCCGTTCCCTACGCCCCGTCTGCCAAAGGTTTCAATATTTTAAATGCGAGTTCTTTAAAATTTAGATATCTCTTTAGAATCTTAGATATCTCTATCTTAGATATCTTAGATATCTCTCTTTAGATATCTCTTTAAAATTGACCTTTGGCAGGCGGGGCGTAGGGAACAGTTCGCGTTATAAATGTGCCGCTCCTGTAATAAAGTGTCTCGAGACATAAGGAGGGGGACGATAGGCGTTTACTCACGAAAATTGGAATCGAAAAGTGTAAAACGGGGACAGCTCTGACCTAAATAATACCGTTAACTCTATTACCATTGTCATCGAGAAAAGATACTTCAATCTTAGACGGGATAGTAGCCCATTTATATTCTTAAATTTAAACTGATCTTGATTTGTTGATTATTAATAATGAAGTAATATAGGTGAAGGGATAGTTAAGAGAAAAAAAAAGAAATGAAAAAAAATAACGTAGTTTGCAAATGGTTTCAAAGAAAAGTTTCAAATTTAGGAGAGTTCAATCCGGAATCGGTTTTCGGAGATTTGAGCCAGATTAGAAATCGTTCGCGAATCGCCTTGTGGAGATTCTAGGCGAACTGGAAATCGTTTGCGAACCGCCTTACGAAGATTCTAGGCAAACGAGAAGGAATGTGGAAGATGATTAGGAAGAGGAAAGAGACAAAGAGTAATTAAACGATTATTAAATTATTGAAATTTATTTTCCAGAAAATGGATGTTGATAATTTCTTTAATTTATCTTGATTGATTAAAATAGTGATTAGAGATTAATTGGTCAAGGATCATTCCTTATGACAATCAGTTAACAAATGGAGGGAAGAGAAAATAAAATTAAGTTGGACTTACTACTTATAGCGAGCGTTGAGGTAGAAACTAAATCGAATAGAACGCAGCTTGAACACCTTGGTTCTATTGTAGAATAGGGAGGTCCCGCAAGTGGAGAACAAGTGGCTTAGTCGATGGAAACTGGCACAACACTTCACTTGTTTAGTCAAATGATTCACGAAAATTTCGTTGATGCTGAACTATCCGCCTTTTCGTTTAATATGGGTGAATTGATTGGAAAGATTGCGTATTGTCGTACTATTAAGAAAAACTATCAACTGCCAGAAGACTATGAATTGCCGTAAAATTTTTGTATAGTGAACTGTGTGTCTGCGGCTTCAGCTCACGAGTTTTAAAGTTTTTACTTTCTCTTTTCTGGATGATGGGAATCTTTTTTAGCTGAATGAAATAATTTCTCTTACTTCCTTCTTAAAGTCAAGGAGCCTGATTTTTAGGAGGAGAGGGATGTCTTAAGATTTTAATTGATTAAGCGCTTTAGCTCGAGATTTAGCTCCAGTAGAGAGTGAGAGTGAGCTAATTATCTCTTATCGTTTGATGATTTGGCGATTCGGAGAACGCTTGAGGATGACCTGTCGAACGAGCGCACGTGCACTATTAATTTCAAGAGATTTGTCAAGAGATTTAGATTTTGTCAATCTTCCCGAGGACCAGCGGATCTTTGTTTTAGAAATGCCTGAGATAGAGCGGTTTCGAGAGTAAAGCTATACTAATAAATACGGGGGGGGGGAGGGGGGCTGTTGGAATCTCTTATAATAATTTCGCGTCTCATAATTCAAGAACTTATTTAGTGTTCTGTTAGCGCTATCTCAATTGGCCATTCTCCGTATTAAATTTGTTAGGTTTTAATGGTTGTATATGCGGGTTAGGTTGCGTTCTTCCACGCGCTATCATTCTACGCGCTATCTTCGCTATTATTCTTAAGAAGAATCGCTTTGCATTCTAAATGCAAATCGATCCT